ATCGCGAACATGGTTTCGCGAGCGCGTTTCACGAATTATAATTGGGCCGTAATTAATGACATCGCCGTTATTGACAGGTGAGAGAACCCGAGCGTCGCGGTCGCCGCGTGCTACGCGAGTTATTCGCCTCGACCGCGCCCCCTTGATCTCGTTTCGGGCCTACACTTATTTTTAGGCTTAATTGCACCAACGGCAACGACGCGGTTATGTTACGGCATAATCACCGTCACGGTACCACCCGATCGAGAGATATCGCGCCAGCAATTGCAAATGTTTACGATCGTACCCGCGCCTCCGAGATCGAATCATTTTTGCGGCGAGTAATTTCGCGAGGCACCGGTGCACGCAAGGTAAATAATTTGGAAGGAACTTCATATCGCCTGTGGCGTAATGTCTCATTATACCGAGGTACCGCCGAAAATCAGGACTGGCGTTTGCATGATCACCTAAAGCTTGCGTAACGTGGGACACATTCGATCTGATTTTGTTAATTTTATTCTCTCGTCGAATAGTTTTCTACGTGTGTGGTCTCATTGTGTATGTGATTGTACAACAAATGTAATGAAATATTTAATTTGAAATTTTTTAAATATTTATTGATAATTTATTTACGCGTTTTTAAACAAGGATCGAAATGTGAGTATATACAGACATTTGCATGGAAAAGATTTATTTTTCAAAAAAAGCGCGATACACGTTACAGTGTGTATCAACGAGGGACAACGATTATAACTATTGTATATATATATATATATATGTATAGTGTATACTTCACCTAAAATCGATTGATATCGGTAAATAACTTAGTAAATTCCGTTAATATCACAACACATTATTTCCTCAGTTGATCTCGTACGCACCGAGGTTTCCTTTGCGCCTCCTCGAGGAGAACCAGCCGGTTGTGTGGTTTATCTGGTCGACGGATCGCTTCACGTTCGCCCGATATTCGTCCTCGTAAGCGTTGAGATACAAGTTCTTGAGGAATATTTGATTATCCAGCTCGGAAGGTGGCAGGAACCGTTTCGAACGGCTCTGCTGTTGCGCCTGCAGCTCGTCGAAAGTGAACTGTTTTGATTCCTCATCGTCGACGGACTTGGACTTCCCCGAATTTTTTTCATCGTCCGCCCTGGTCGGTCTCACTGACAGAAGCTTCCGCTTCTGACGCGAAGCGCCAGCCTCCTCCGACGTGTTTCGTATCCGCTTGCTGCGGTGCTTGGGCGCCCCGTCTTTGGCCGGAATCTCGTTGTCCAGCACGGCAACGTCGTTACTCGGGATTGTCGTTGATTGATTGCCGTACGACGCGACCTTCGGCGCCGGTTCCGTGCTAGATTCCACGGTTACGCTTTCCTCCGTCGAGTTCAATCTATTCTGTATGATATGTTTGAAGAATGCGTACATTTCACCAACCGTGAAAGTCGTGCCGTTCCTCACGGTAAACTTGTCGATGTTCATCTTTTTGATTAACTCCTCGGTCGCGTTGCGCGCCTCCAGCATCGACAGTTTCTCGGTTACGTAACTGTTGACGAACTCGTAGAAGCCCTTGTAATAATTCTTCCTATGCTTCTTCTTGTCCTTCCGCTTCTCGGCGTGCGACAAGCCTTTCCTCTTCGCATCTTTTCGATTCTGCTTCTCGTTCCAGCGTATGGACTTGTTGTAGAACCGCATGATTCGCTCGAATTCCCTCTTCAACTTAATGAACTCCCTCTGATTGCGTATCTCAAAATCCGAGCGGGTTTTGCTACCGTTTCGTCGCGACTCCGCAAGATCCACATGGAAGAAGTTCTTGCTCATTGCATTCAATAGATCGTGCATGGTATTGTTGCTGGAGTTATTTGGTTGTCTGGCGTCCATGCGCTGCAATTTTCTATACACCATCTTGAGAAAATCGATCATTCTCTCCTCTCGTAAACGGGATTTATTGCCATGTCCTGCGTGCGCTTTCCAAATTGACGGATCGGACGCATTGGTGCTGTTCTGGTGGCTGGCAATGGATGCTAGTTTCGCCTCTGTTTTATGCTTGGAATGTTCACGGCTTCTGTTCATCTCCATATGCAGTAGTTTTTTGCCCACTTTACGGAAGAAGTCGATGAATTTTCTGAAACATTAACATTTAATTTTTACTTTTAATAATGTTTTTAAATTATTTTTACTAAATATTTTACCAAACTAATTGTTACAATTTCAACATCAACATTTAATTTTTACTTTTAATAATGTTTTTAAATTATTTTTACTAAATATTTTATCAAACTAATTGTTACAATTTCTTTCTAAAACAAAATAAAAATTATATTTTCATATTTATAAAAGTAAAATGAAATAAACATAAACTGATCTATTTAATTCATTTAATTGTTGACATTATTTGCGCTAACATTTTAGCGTAAGTTCTTACTTGTAATTTAGGGTGACGTTGTAATTCAGGGTAACATTATCGTTGTCCACTGATCTACGCCGTCTGCTCCATCGAATTCGAGGGTGCTGTCCAAGGATGCACCTGGGCAACTCACGGGGATACCATATACCGCCTATGCAAGTCGCGCCGGTTGGCCCTTCATCGAGAACGTAGCCCTTATCGCAGTCGTACATAATCTGCTTGTTGTTGACGATCTTCTTGACATACGGTCTGAAGTCGTAAACTCCCATGTTGCCCACCAGAAAGACTTTGCCGTGCTCGATGAAACCGGGGTAAGGGCAGAATTCCTGCCTGCACGACGGTAAATCGCCGATCCAGTTGCCATAGCGGCATTCCACGGTGAAAGAGTCATTCATAGGACCTCCGCCGATCAACGTGAAGCCGTCTTTGCACTTGAAGATCGCCTTCATACCGTGATCCGTCTTCGGTGCTATTACCATCGCGTTTTTCGGAACCTTCGGCATATGCTTGCAACGGGCTGGCGAGCAACTCGGTACTATCGACCAAGTACCGTTATTGCATAACACCGGAGTGCTGTTGGCAGCGAATTCGTAATTCTGAATGCAGGTAACCAGAAGTCTCTCGCCGTGCTCCACCACCGTGACATTGTTGATGTGATCCCTCTCGTGGCTGGCTACGACAACGTAACCGTTCTCGATCTGCGGGACGACGCACGGCGCTAAGCATTGCGGTACAGGATAACGCCATTTGCCGTCTTTTTGGCAGACGGAGGAAGTATTGCCCTCCAGCTTCATGTGATCCTTGCAGCGAAAGATTATACTGGCGCCCATACCTGTGCCTGCGATTGCGAAAATTTCACAAGAACGAGAGATTATAATATATAATATTGATTATATTTTATATTATTCGGTCAATTTTAAAATAACGCACCGGCTTCAATGTTCTCGATCCAACCGTTATATAACACGCCGGGTAAACCGCAATTGATTTCCTGACAAGTAGGCGTCTTTCCAGTCCACTTTCTGTCAGCACCGCAACGTCTAGTTCCTGCGCCTACTACGGTGTACCCGTACTTGCATTCGTACGATACAATGGAATTATACGCGTAGGAGGTGTAGACAGCCTTGCCGTTGACTGGATTTTCTGGCTTCGGACATTGCACGGACGTGACCTGCACGAGATATTGAATGTCTAGACACGATTCGTTTCCGAGGGACAGTTTTCGAAATTTTCTTATTTCCTTACTTGAACGCATTGCGGTAACTCCTTCGGGGTCCATGTGCCATCCGCCAGACACAGTTTCTCCGTTTTACCAACTAATTCGTAACCCTCTATGCAATGATACGACACGCGGCAATCGTACGTATAACATTCCCCTTAAAAGTAGAATCGATAATTGAAATCTCTCCCGTATCGAAATCATTAGTTGTACAAATATTGTAATTATCGATCATAATTACGTAAAACTTACCAGAATGCCATCCGTTGGGAATGTCCGGGGGTAAATCGCAGTTTTGAGGCTTGCAAGTGATATCTGGCCCGTACCATCTAGCAGCTCCTTCCAGCAGCAGACATTTCGCTTTCTTCGCTCCCGTCGCTACGTACCCATGAATGCAGAAATATTGCACGCTACTGTCGAGATCGAAGGTCGTTTGTTCTAACGGAGCGTTGTGGCGCGCGTTTTGGATTTTCGGCGGCTGGGAGCAGAAGGAGTTGGCATCTTTCTTGCAGGACGGATCAGTCCCGGTCCAATGACCGTCGGCGCGACACGTTCTTTCAGACAGGCCGACTATAAAGTAATCGGTGTCACAGGCGTAATGAGCTCTGTCGCCGAACAATCTTCCAACAACCGTCATCACACCATGATCAATCTCGGACAACATTGGGCATTCACGTTCGGGCTTGATGCACGACATCCCGCAGGCTCCGTCGCATCTGCATTTCTTCTTCTTACTCTTGCAATCCTCGTCGGTGGAGCACTTTCGCAGACACTTCTGGCCCATCAGTTCCGCCTGCTCCTCATCTCTCGGGCATACAGCAGAGGGTGAGTTTCGCGGGTTTTTGTAGATTCGGCCGTCGTCATCGATCTCGGTCCTCGGATGGTAGCTCCCGTCGTCGTCATCGTCATCGTCGTCATCCTCCCATTCATCGTCATCGTCGTCATCGTCGTCGACGGCCGACTGCTGCCGGAGTTTCGATTCCGAAGTGAGGAACTGAGCGCACAGCAGGAGCAGCAACACGATCGCGCTTGGTTTCATTCTGGCCTGGAGAAACAATTTCTAAATCCCGCGAAGATTCACTGAAGGTATACTAGCGATTGGACCATACGATGGTTGGACCACACGACGGCACCGAGACACAACGGGACGTTTACATGACCGCTTGACTACCCGAACTAACCATCTTACTCGGAGACCTGCGGAGAGCCAATGCCGTGGATCTTCTCAGGTGCGCACGATCGTCCATCGAAGGGCACCGTTCCGCGAGTTCCGTTCAGAGCACCGCGGAAGTCATCTCGAACTGCGGACGACGTTGTTTCTCTCGCGAGCGCGACTATTAATCGAGTCCGCCTCTTCGGCGTCCGGGAGGATTAGGCACCCTCTCCGTCGGTCTCTCTCCGCCGGAGTGCTCTTTCGCCCCTACTGGCTCCACCTCGCTTTCTCTCGCTCTACCCTGGATGCTTTTTTCTTTATTGTACAGACTGCGGTCCCCCGCTGACGGAATTCGCGGATATTCGCGCATCTCGTCGCGCGCATCCAGCCTGTGTTCAATACATCTCCTGATTTCCCGAGCTTCCAGCAGATGGCGACGAAACGTGCTGATAAAAGGGAGGCTGCGCAGCTACCCCGGGAACTCGACACCTCATGGTAGTCTTCGTACGCGAGGACAAGTGTAGCGTACGAGCAAACCTCTGCAAGCATCTTTGAATCAAATTTTAAATCCTAGTTAGCTGTAATTTAACTGTAAATAGAGAGAAAATGAAAGAATAAAGGCAGATATAAGATGCGATGCATCACTACTTGATTGAAATGTAATGTTCGCCTTTATAAATCGTTTTTTTTTTCATCCGAATCTCGCTCGTTAAAATTATAGCCAAAGAAATCGTGAATTATCTCTAAAGCGGAAAGCTTCTACCGTACCGTGTAATCAGCGGCTACTAAATTTTTACCATCGCGCGTTATACGTCGCTTCGGCACAACTTGCTAGAAAAAAAAATTCGGAGCATGCGTCCGCGGGCTCTGAAATTATTATTCACGCGAGATACGACATTCAGAAGAGAAACTGGAACGAGCAAAAACGCGACGCCGCGAAAACGTTTCGGCGTCATAAAAATTACACCAAGTAAAGGTGTTAAAACGAGCTAGCGCTTCGAGGCAGAGAATTGCATATCTGCGAGTGTGCCCTAGGCTCCCGAGCACAAAACGTATGCAGTGGATACGAATTGTCTCTCTAAAAGCACTCTCTTTAGCCTGTCTCTTTTTTTCGCGTGACATGCATGCAACAAGTACATTTTGTATGCTCAAGCGACGCCTGAGATCGTTCACCCTTAATTTCTCCTGATCTCTCACGAGGTTACGAGAATGATGTACGTAATAAAAAAAAGTTTTTTCAATTTTACGTTCGCCGTCACGACGATTTGCATGACAAAGTAACAATTTGCCTATCTTGTCGTCGAATAGCGAACGAGAAATACGCGCGTCTCGTACGAAGCGTGGGTAGCAGCCGGGGGATCGGTTTTCATCGGACAAAGTCGTGCCTACCTCCAACCTATGCTTGTTAGTCGTCATGCTACCAAGATAATCCTCGATCTCTAAGCCGAGCGTTCATCGTTAGAGTAAGCCTATGTCGGCCATTGTCTTCGTAACGATAGCGATCAATCGGTATGGTTCGACGCCCCGGCGACACCATAGGTGATCCTCGCTCCAATCTCGGATATCGGCTTCATCGTTCTTGCACTGTGTTTCCGAGATATCTTCATTTGTCTTATTCAAATGGGGCGTTTTTCCGGTAGCTTTTATTTGAATAAAAGAAAACGATCCTTCTAAGAAATTCAGAAATTAAGACTTGCGTGATGTACATTGCAATTTTACGTTTATGATTATATAAAGACATTGCCGCTTTTAACTTAAAAAATAATTAAATCTATGAAAAGGCTAATTTTAACATAAAATACATGACTATACATGACAATATACTTTTTTGAACTACAAAGTTTAATTTATTTTAATTACAAACTTAATTACGAAGTTTATATATATTTATGTCGCCCTGATATAAAATGTCAACCGTCTTTTTAATAAGACTGGTTCTGGACTCATTTCAGTGTCACGGCCGTTTCCGCGTCTGGATGCGGGCATCAGACCGGATTGACAAAGTGGCAGCTCGGAATGGTAACTCGGTAGCTGAAAATGGGAGTGGCTGGAAGACAAGAGGACAACTCGCTCAAAGACATCCTCGTGGCGCCTCTACGCGACTGTAAGGCATGAAGGAAAATCAGTGGATCTCAGTCATTTGGGTGAACAATTAAAAATATTGCTTCTCTTTATTTTACAATGTGACGCAAAATTTCGTAATGCTCATTATTTCTTTCGTGAAAAAGATTTAGGCGTAAGCACAGATCAGAACAATACGAAGAAGAATACAATATATGTATTTTGTTAAGAATTTGTATGTATATTACATGTATGTGAGAAACCCTGCTGCCAAGTCTCCTCGAAGGATGTCCCTTTTCGTCCTCGGTGGGCGGCACACGCCTCGCCAGCTTTAAGAACGAGAACTGACTATCAAAGTGTCGGTTTACAGTTGCATGCCCACCCTACATGACGTCGCGCCCTTTCTTCATTCGCCTCCTCCCCAAAAAGCTCTAAGCACTTTCGAGCAAGTCGACATTATGTAATTATTCATTCTATTAAATCTTTTTACTTGAGAAAGTCGGGAATGCGAGAAAACATGATTGGCGAAGTTTCTCGTTACGCGCGCTGGAGAGCTTGAAAGGTCTAAGAAGCACGGCCGTAAATTCGCGGGGTTTCACTTTTTTTTTTTCAATTAACTTCATCTGATCGGATGTGGAAAAGTACAGCGAAAAAAAGAAAACGAAGCTCACGGCAAAAGCTACGCGTTTCTGCTCATTCTGCAGCTCGTTACGCGACCATTATCCCCAGTCTCGCGAATCCATTATTCTCTCTTCAGCCTCTCGAAGGTTCTTTTGCGATTCGCGCACCGTCCACATGACGCTGCGGAATAATGGTTTACGGTCGTTCCCTCGACCGACGGGGGAACCTCCGGACTCTGATCGCGCGCATGCATACTCGTCGGCTCGCGCATAATCCGGTTGCAATCTTTCGCACTCAATCACGAAGCAAATGACGCCAGTTGGCGTTGGTCTAGAAGAGGCGAAATTACCGGAATGAAATTGATTTAAGCAGAGTCTGCCTCCGGGGAGTTTTGCAACCGGACGTTTCGGCTTATGGCCGATGATTGCCCGTCCGAGTAAGTTTTTATATTTATCATACGCAAGAAAATAAAAAGATATAGTAACTGTTTAAATAATCAGTTACTCTATATTAATCTTGTATTTTGCATTTGAATTTAATGCCATTATTAACTGACATTATTTTGTAAAAAAAAAATCGATTAATCATCTCTACTATCGATTGAAATGTATATAATACATTTTAAATTAAATTCCGTCAGAATGTCGAATGTACCGTCAGCCGACGAGACTTTTACGTTTTTATCCCGACGAGATCACTTCTTATCGCCCGATAAACGTTCCGATGCAATTTCCCGTCGTCGATTGGCACTTAAACTTTCTTTAACTGCCAGCATCCACTTCGGTGAACGATCTCGAGCACTCTCGAGCATTGCGGAGGCATCCACGTCGTCACTTACTCATTGGATCTTTATGTGCCGCTGCGCAGCGTCCGCCGCTGACGCTCTTTGTTGCGCGACGCGCTGGCTACCGAGCGCGTTCATTTGACGGATGCACCTACGCTGCTATACGCAGCTCCCTTTCACGGCTTGGTACGTGCCTTAAGCCGCATTCGTCGGACCGGCTCTTACGAGGCGCACCGACTGAGTCCAATTCAGAAGCAATTGAATTCACAATTCCGTCCATTACGAGTGTCGGGAAAAAGATTACCGGGACGGTGCTGCCGGGCTGTGCGTGCCGCATCTGCATCCATGCGTAGAACGGGCCGCGGACGTATGCATAAATGCATACATCCGCGCCTCCGCGCGCGTTGCATCGCACGTACGCGCGCGACGTAAGCCTGTCTGTAAGCGAGTTACGGGATGGCTTCTGGGATTAAAGCTCCAGCTAGACAAGTAGAGGCATTGGCGCGCCGCGCGCCGTGCGCGGGAATCACCACGCCAGTTGACGGCGGACGACTCGACGACGGTTCGTAATAGGCTTATGAATAGATATTCGCGGCTCTATTAATGATTTATTATTAAGCAACAGTTAAAACGATACGTAACACCGCTTGGAGAGTGTAGTTGTTAAATGGATTTGCACGTGCTGCTGAAAATATGCATATCCACCGCGTCTTTAATGAAATCTCGCAAGGTTAGAGGTGAATATATCTTGACTTAAAGCTGTGAATGAAATCTTTAAATGTAATTATTATTTTTTAATTCTATATTACGTCAACTAGCAAATTGTGAATTTTATCAGAAAATACGCATAATAGCATTACGTGCAGACCGATCTCATTTGGCGTAATGATCCTCCTTCATTAAGAATTCAATAAAACTTTCCGAACGAAAATCAATATTCTTCTTGCAGTGCTCCAAATTTTCGATACCCAAGCACTGCACCTTGAATGCGCGCAACGAGACCGTTGTGCGAGCGGTAACAACGCGTATGAATAATACGCGCGGCGGCGGGAGAAAGTTCTGCCTTTTGACGCGCTGATTGCAGGTTTCCTTTCGCGTCTCGGTGCTTTTTGACGTTCCCGGCCGGGTCGCCGGGAATCCGGGCTGCCCGTCTCGGTCTCTCCCACCCTCGCCGCCCGAAGAACTGGAGCACCGTGAAGCGCACGATGATAGTAATTATGCACCGTCATGTAAAACGTGGATTTGCACAGAGCCACCTGAAACCTGGCCCATATGCCCGGTCCGTACGATTATTAAGCCGTCACAACGCGGGAGGACGGCTCTTACCGTCTCGGGCTTTCGTTGCTACTTTTTCTTACCACCCCCTTCGGGGCAACCCCCTCCGGGAATTGCAGGGTGGTAACGCGCATTCTCAAATCGTAAGATGTAATCCACCCATTTCGCTCTGCATGCCGATAGCCTGCCAACTGCGCGGCTTGCTTCTTTGCAGCTGAAGGAGTAAAAATTCCTGTAGCAACAAGGTAGTATAATAATTAACTACTTGTGATGAAAATCGCAATTTCTCCCAAGCTGTCAAAGAAGACTGATTAATCGAGTAAATTCTCATTTATTATTATTACGCGCAGCGACCGGTCGTCCGGTCGCGATAGACATCCGCTTGCCATAATCGCGATGCGGAAGAGAGTGTCGCGCGCGCGCGTACCGTCGAAAAGAGTCTCCCCGTCTCCTTCCGGTTTCCGTCAAGTTCCGCATCATTGTCCCCATAATTAGCCATTCAGATTTGCTTCCTCGGCGCGGACGCGTGTGCGGATATGACGTCGTCGATGGCGGCACGTGGACGACGGACGTCGACTGGCAAAACGCAGGCTGCCACGCGGAGGCGTTAGCGGAAGACCGCCGATATGATAAATACAGCCGCTGCAGGTGGTTGACACTTGCGAGAGGTGATTACGACCTGGTAACAACATGATCGCACCTCGAGAAAAATTCCTCCGATCCGTAGGCGGATGCTCACGTTCATGAGCGAAGGAAGGCTCGCTTGTAGGAAAAGCATATACAGGGTGGACCATTTTAATCCTTCCAGTCAAATATCTTGAAAAATAAGCACACTAGGAAAAAATGTTTCAGACAAAAGTTGTAGGGTTTCGAGGGGACATAAGATGATAACATTGGTTT